GGAACAGGGCTGTCGCAACCAAGTTCCGGGTTCGGGAGTCGGTTACGTGAGGGGAAGGTATTAGCACCCCTCACGTCCGTCGTACTCGACGGGAACCTCTTAAGGTAATTGTGGGGAGTGTTGTTTAGGTTTACTTGTTTTCTTCTCGTTATTAAAGGTAGAATTGGTAGGTTAAAAGGTTAAAGATGCTAAAGAGAGATGGGTGGTTAGGGGATAGGGTGCTCGCCAAGGATTGGGGCCCTTGTGCCTACGTATGCTCATTCGGACGAGAATGAGAAATCAGAGCGTCGTAGTTCGACTACGGGAAAAGATGGGGGGAAACGAGAGATGGATAGAAGGGTGCTCGCCAAGATCATCGCAATCTTGTGCCTACGTATCTTATATTCAAGAATGAATAAAGAATCAGAGCGTCCGTAGTTCGTGGTAACAACCACGAAAATATGAGGTTGAATAGATTGGGAGTTTGGGAAAGAGACGAAAGGGTGACTGACAAGAAACCCAAGAGCGTGCCTCGAGAGCTTGCCACTCAATTCTTTCGGGGTTTTTGATCTGGATAGGTTGAATGTTTTGAAATTGAAAGAATAAACTAATAACAACTCGAGGGCGCGCCTCGAGAGTTACTCATTCGAATATCCAAAGAATGCTAGATTCTAAGAATATCCCTCTTTCGTAAATTTTAAGAATGTTTGTGAAAGGATTGAATCGAAGAATGGCATGCGAGGCCAAAAGGGAGTTGTTTTGAAGTAGCTCGACGACATGTCGAGGATTTGTTTGAAGATGGAGCCGACTTGACGACGTGTCAAGTGTTAGGGCTGTGAGAAGCGATATCAGTCCCTGAGGGTGCTCCTAATATCGAGATCACGAGGAATTGTGAAAGAAATGGGTTGCGAATGCGGACGAGCATTCGACTTAGGAGAATGTTAGAAAATGATTGAATTTGAAAGAGTCGAAAGGTTGAGTGAATAACAACTCAAGAGCGTGCCTCGAGAATTATTCACTCGAAGACACTAGGAATGTCAGATCCCAAGTACCTCCTTCTTTCGAAGTTTGATCGAGAAAAATATTTTAAAAATGATTTCAAGCGAAATGGAGTATGAAAATAAATTGTGAACGGGTGAGAAGTGAGAACGCGAGATAGGATTTGAAAATATCAATTATTTAATAAATGAGACGTCGGCCCCACAACTAAATAATCGGGGTATTATCGAGACGCTAAATCTCGACAACACCTTTTTCATTTGGAGAATGTTTGAATGAACAATGGAAATATCACACTGAACGCTAGATTCCTATGATATTTCTTTGTCCTAAAAAGAGCGTAAAAAAAACGAAAAGTCAAACGATGCATTATTCAAGGTGTACACCTCAATAATTATTGTCCAAAAATCCAAGAAGTGCTAGACTTCAAGGATTTAGTTTTTCGTAGTTTTGATTTAAGAAAATATTTTAATGAAATAATAAAAAAAAAGGGTTTGAATAAATTGATCTAGGCTTTTTTTAAAAGGGGGATCAAATTTTGAAAGTGGTTTTACTAAGGAAATAATTTGAAACAATGAAAATATTAGGATTTTAGTGTATATAAAAAATTTATAAAAGGATTTCAATAAAAAGAAAAAAAAATATCTTAATCTTGGGGTACTACCATAATTATTAATAATAATTGCCACTTATTAAATCAAAGAAAATTGCTAATTGCTTTTCCTTTTGCAAACAAACGTGATGGGAATATAGCTAGCTTATCTTAACCGAAAAAACAAACATACAGTAAATACATTACTATAATAATTAAAGAAGGTCATGATGATTTTCAATCCAAACAAACTTTGACAACCTTAAATGCAGTTCATCCTTCACATACAGACCTGCATAACCAACATAAAATCAGAATTTCCAACTTTAACCAATAACAAATTCGATTCCAATTCGACTCGAATGAAGTATCGCCAACGACATCGTATCAGCAACGCAACAACACCCTTAATTTAAAACCAGAAAGTACATTCATATAAGTGTAAAGCTCATTATTTCTCACAATCGACAACACAAATCACATGATAACCCCGATTAATTCTAATGTTAATTATACCATCAAACATCTTACCAAATCAGAACAAAAAACAAAAGATAAATGTGCTCTCAAAACAAGTTCAAAAATGAAAGCAAAACCAACCCAATACGGAAACAGTTCACGCGGTCTGCATCGAGTTAAGCTGTTAGCAAACGGGATGTCGAGCTCGAATAGCTCTAAATGTTGTTGCCGCTGCCACTCGTCCGCCACCAATGTAAGTGTGCTGCCTCACTTCGCCATTGTCGACACAGAGAAGCTCACTTATGATTTTCTTTCAGCGGTGTCGCAACCTTGTTTAGCTCTTATTGCAATAATTCACGACGGTGACTCGCGGATGAGCTTGAACTCTGGCCGTTTTGAATCTTCAGATGAAGTGGAGTTTTACCTGTTTACCAGTTTCAAGAACACCAACCTGACTTCTATCGACATGAATTTGTGACAAACGAGTTGTTCTCTTTTGACATCGTTCTTGAACTTCGATGCGTAATCAAACAGATTTAAGACTTAAACATAATTGATTCCCATCTCACATCTGATTCAAAACCGGCACATAAAATTAACAACAGACAGCGACACAATCTTTATGAAAACGGAATTGAACGCAAGTTCTTTTGTTGATGTGGTTAGACTTGAATAAAAAAGAAAAGTGCCAGGATCATGTCTTTGTGTTGCTCTGTTGCTGCGGTGATTCTTTTGCTGCGACAACTTTGAGATAATTGCTAGTGTGTTCACGGTTATTGTTGAACAGAGAAAAACGCCATAACACTCTGATCTGTTATGATGGAAGTTGTTGATGCGAAAGCCTCATAGTTGCACTTGTTGTGGTTGCAAAGCTAATGGCGTAGACGTCATTAACTTAGAGCTTTGACAGTCTCGAAACAGAACCACTGAATCTACATCACTTCCATTGCTGAATCGAAACATCGCGAGAGAAAAAGAAATGTTATACTGCTGTGGATTGCGTCCAACTTATGATGACGAACCAGAAGGATCCAAACCTGTCAAAGAGAGAACAATAAACAATACCTAACAGCATTTGGGACTAACATTCGACATCGCACAACGAGTGAAGAAATGAAAAGAAATTCACAGAAAACCAACTAGCAAATGCACAAGTCTAAGTAGTAAAACATAGCTTAATGATCATGTGTACAACAAGTTTAAGAATAAATCCAAACAGAAGCAATAAACAACATTGTAACCAAAACAAAAACACAAAACTTCCTTGAATAGTAAAGGAAACTGTTGCAGGGATGATCCTCGTCTCAGGTTATTGAAGTTCGATTGACGAAAGCTTTAAACCTTTTCAATGCTTCCACAATGATAACTCCAGACTTGCAACAAATAGGAAAAGTAGGAACATAAGCGAGATATGTCATTACAGCACATCGTTAACCCCGGACAGCTCAAGCCAGAACATGCGCCATACTCGCTGTTGTTGAATCCATGGATTTGTTGCTGCTGCCGTTAAAATTTAATCATCATGGGTATCGTCACTGCTTGTATTTGTTGCTATAAGTGAATTCGCGAACAAGGGTTGCTACACTATGAAATTGATTCTCTAATGAGAAGGAGCCATCACCAGTTGAACGGCAAAATCGAGCTTAGTCACCGGGTCGGGGCTTTGCGTTGAAACAATGGAGGCGGTGGTGATTCCTTTGCTGGGATTTAATGAGGAGTGTTTTTGAGCACATGGAGGGTGATAAGGAAGGAGAATAGGAGCTGGGTCGCGCGAAGGTTTAGTTTGGGTGTGGAGAAAAAGATGATGATGATTTTTGATCGGCAATGTAGTTTGCTGAGGGAGGGAGATGAACAATAATTTTTTAGGGTTTTCTGCGTTTGAAAGAGACGCCGCTAGGGTTGATGAACAGTGCCCCGCCTGCCTTCTCAACGAGTTTCCCCCCTTTCCTTATAGTGACTAAATGTGGGCCTCCAACCATTTGGGCTTTTTGATTCTCTCAGCCCCTTTTTTAATTCTCAGCAATTTATCAAATAATTAGAAATAAATGAAGTCTAATATAAATTAATAACTAAAATATTAACTAACAAGACTAAATAATAAATAAATATTAACAAAAGAGTTAAATGTTAACAAATGTAATAGAATATAAACTAAAAAACAAAAATAAATACTAATTACTTTAAAAATATTTTTAGTAATATATATTTTTTTTTTAAAAAAGAAAAGTTTAAGAAACTGAAAATAAATAAATAAATAAATAGATAAATTTCAGGCCACGTGTCACGCTTTAATTGGTTAAAAAGATTTTTTTTTAAAAAACGTCCAATTTCGGGTGGACACGTGTCTAATAGCGCGAAACAATAAATGCGAAAATATCTACAAAAGGGTAGGACAAATTTAGGGTATGACAACGAGGTGGCTGATTTTACAAAGAGATTCAATAAGGATTGCTTTTTCTTCAAAGTAGATTTTGCTAAAGCTTATGATTGTGTGGATTGGCGTTATTTAGATGCTTTGCTTATAAAGATGGGGTTTGGAACAAAGTGGATGAAATGGATTTGTGGTTCTGTTTTTAATAGTTTCGTATCCATTCTCATTAATGGCAGACCGTTGAAGGACTTTAGGGCCGGCAGGGGTCTGAAATAGGGCGACCCTCTTGCCCCTTTCCTGTTCGTTATAGCAGCAGAAGGGTTGTCTAGCTTGGTGAAAATAGCGGTTGCCGGTAATATGCTCTCCCAATTCTTGATTCATGGCCAACCAACAGTGAGTATTTTCTAATTTGCTGACGATACTCTTCTCATTGGAGACGGGTCGGCGTCTAATATTTGGGCTTTCAAAGCTATTCTTAGGGCCTTCGAGCTAATTTCAGGTCTCAAAACCAATTATTCCAAAAGCTGTTTGTATGGGACTCATATTGAACCTGACTTTTTAGTGGCTGCTGAAGATTTTCTTCATTGTAAATCCAGAAAGATGCCTTTTAACTTCCTTGGTATCACAGTTGGAGGTAACCATCGGAGATACTCTTTCTGGAAACCGGTTCTGCTATGTCTTAAGAATAAACTTTCCATCTGGAATGGGAGAAACTTATCTATGGGGGGTAGAGTCACCCTCATTAACTCGGTTCTTGCAAATCTGCCTATCCACTATATGGCTTTCTTCAAGGCTCCTCAAAAGGTCGTGAAGGTTTTAATAGCGATCTAACGGCGGTTCTTATGGGCTGGGAACTCGAGCAATTCTTTTATCCCTTGGGTTTCTTGGAATTCAGTTTGTAGATCTAAGGAAGATGGCGGCGGTATGGGTATTAAGTATGTGGGTCGGTTCAACAGTGCCTTGTTAGCAGAGTGGCTCTGGAGGTTCCAAACTGGCGGCAATGAAATATGGAGAAACACCCTCACTATCAGATATGGTAACCTTAGCATTAAGACACAGACTTACTCCAATGTTGTTAGTTCGAAATCCGAATCGTTGTGGATGAAGGATATTATGACCAATGCGTCACTAAGATCTCAGTCCAACTTCTGCAAGTTCACGATCTGCTCAATTGGTGAAGGTAATGATGCGGCGTTCTGGAAGTCAATCTGGATCGACAACATACCGCTAAAAGTCAGATTTAATGGCTTGTTTCACTGCTGCCCTTTGAAGTCAGTGTCAATCCGTAACATGGGATACTGGGAGGATGGGCAGTGGAATTGGAACCTGAGAAATTCGTTGTTGGATTCAGACAATCCCCCTGAACCAGATTGGTCTGACTGCTGTAAGTTGCTGGAAAATATCTTAGTTATCCCGGGTGAGTCCGACAAATGGCGGTGTAGTCTTCATGAATCTCTAATTTTCAAGGTTAGCTCTCTTTATCCAATCCTATATCCCTCTCTATCTGAACAAGACATTGGCTCAGATTGTGCTTCCCATATTGAGTCCATCTGGAAGACGGTTATTCCGGTGAAAGTGCAAACGCTCAGTTGGAGATTGACGCTTAATAGATTGCCTACGAGATCTAATCTATCGAAGAGAAGGGTGTTTGATTCCGAGCAAGATTTGGATTGTGTGTTTTGTTCTAGTAGCCTGAAGGACGTTTCTCATCTTTTTTTCTCGTGCTATAAATCTACTCAGGTTTGGAACAAGATCTGTGAACGGGCGGATATAGACATAATTTCGAAAAATTGTTGTTATTCTCACGCTAAGGTGTGGAACACAAGCCTTAGAGGTCGGTGTCAAGCGAATAGAGTTAATTCGATCTGGTTTATTACTTGCTGGAATATCTGAAGGTATAGAAACGATTGTATTTTTAATAATGTAGTTACTGAGGTCGACAATATTGTTTTCGATGTTAAACTCAATTCTTGGAATTGGTTAATTCTAGACAGGAAGGGGAGCAAGCCGTGTTGCTTGTACGATTGGTTCAAATTCTCTTTCGACTTCTTGTAATTGTATCTTGGTTTGAGATTTCCTTAATCTCCTTTTTAATATTATCTGCTTATAAAAAAAATGAACTATAGGACAATTATATGTAAATTGGATGAAAAATTATTGTTTAAGTTTATATTTAAAGTTTATTTTTTAATATATTACTACAATTATATTTGATATATATTTTAGAAAATATGTGATACTTTTTTTTTCTGTTTATAAGTTATAAGTCAAATTTAAATGTATAATTTAACTATTTTATTTTAATTGTGTAAAACTTTTTTTTTACTATGGTTTGAAACAAATTTATGTAAAAAAAATCGTATTTATAATTTTTATGGAGTAAAAAATTATATAATATATTTTAGGTTTGAAAATAAGTGGATAGATAAAAAAAATTAATGATTAATATATGAAAAAGAAAACATGAAAGTGATTTGTAGAATATAAATAATGGTGTTTTTTTATTGCGAAGTTTTGAAGAGTGTCACATTAGATTTTAACTGATGTGACATGAAATGTGATACATAAATATAATTATTATCGAGATATATTTTAGAAAGAAAGTGAGACATTTATTTATCTATTTGAAAATTATAAATCAAATTTAAAAGTATTATTTAATTATTTTATATTATGTAATATAATTCTCTTTTTTTATTATGGTTTAAATTTTATTTATAAAAAAATATTTTATTATAATTTTTATTAAGTAAAATATTATATAATGTATTTTAGCATAAAAAAATAAATACGCAAAAAATTAAAAGTAATGTTTATTATATGAAAAAGAAAATTGGGAAATAATTTGTAGAATATAAATAATGTGTTAGACTTATATAACTTTTTATGGGCTACAATCAATTGTTGTTTAGTTTGTGAAAATCCCAAATTAGGCCGTGACAAAGTAACAACATCAGGCATAGCATAATTAATATTATCAGATGCGATGATAGACTCAACAACATTAAACTCAAGGAATTTTGCATACATGGACTCCACAATTTTATTACCTCTACCACGACAAAAGGATATGTATCCTTTAGATCTATCCGGATATCCAATGAAAAAACAACGACTTATTTTTGGGTCAAGCTTTGTCTCAAAAGGATTATATATTTAAACCTCCGCAGGGCAATCCTAGACATGGAGATGGTTCAAACTGAATTTTCTACCTGTTTGAAACTCAGAAGGTGTTTTTGGAACTGATTTACTAGAAAATCTATTAAGTATATAGAGGGTTGTTTTCAAAGCGTCTCCCCAATAAAATTGTGGTACATTACACCTACTCATCATGCTTCTCATCATATCCTTAAGGGCGCGGTTTCACCTTTTGGCTACACCATTTTGTTCGGGAGTACCAGGCACAGTGTATTATGGAACAATTCCGCAATCTTGCAAGTATTTTGCAAAAACCTCATGTGTTGCCCAGTAGACTCATATATACCATAATACTCTACACCATGGTTAGAACGTATCACCTTTATCACTTTTCCTAGTTGCTTTTTAACCTCAGTTTTAAAGATTTTAAACTTTCAAGTGCTTCTGATTTTTCCTTAATCAAGTAGAGATAGCCATACCGGGAAAAATCATCAATGAAATAATAAAAGAATTGTTACCATAAGTAGTAGGAGAAAGGGGACCGCTAATTTCTGTATGAGTAATTTCCTAAAGATCTAAACTTCTAGTTGAACCTTTCTCATTAGTTTTATTAAATTTTCCTCTAATACAATTCACACGAGTCCCAAAATTATTGAAATCTAAGGAAGGTAAAATGTCATCTCTAATTAACCTTTCAACTCTTTCTTAAGAGATATGGCCTAAACACATGTGCCACAACAAAGAGGATTTTCTCTAATTCTAGACCTTTTAGCAATGAAGCTCTCAATAATCAAGATGATTAAATATTATCACAATCCAAAGGCAACTCATACAAACCATCCAACCAGATACCATTACCAACAACTTGAGAATTCAACATCAAATTTATTTTTCCATCATAAAAGGTAAACTGAAATTCAAGTCTATCAAAACAAGACACTAAAATTAAATTCCTCTTAAAAGAAGGACTAAATCACTTCTTCCTTCTTAAGTTTCACTTGTTCAGCTACACACTTGGTAAAAAGGTTATGTACGGTCCATTTATCACCAAAGGTTTATAGGAAATTTTAATTTGAGTGAACTCAGCAGGTAGGTAGTTTAAGGCATGAGACACAATGAAATTCTCATTTAGGTCAATGTTATGGGTATTCAGTTTGGTTTGGACATGAACCATTCTAAAAATGAACTCTCTGGCACCCATTGTTATCCTTTTTCATGTTTGTGAGTTGTTTCATCAAGATTCGGCATTGTCAGATACCTGGAACCTTTTTCCAATACCAGTAAGATATTCTTTAACATTATCTTTGTCAGGAAATCCTCTTATCAAATGTTCAGAAATGGTCCTTATAATAGCACACAAGCTAAGTCTTTCACTCCTCTCCCACCCAGCTAATTTTTCTTCCTCTTCAAGTGCACTCGGATCATTGATCACAGGTTTGGTTTCACGCAGTGTCATGTCAAGATGAGGAATCCCTAATGAAAACATTAAGTCTTTCTACCATTTATTAAAATTAGACCCATTCAAGATCTCAATAGAAGCAAAACAGTTGTTAATAGAGAAAGTCATTGTTGAGACAAAATAGGAATGCATTAGAACAAATAATAAAGACAAGATATAGCTTTAATGAGCATAATTTATCATGAAGAGACCAACATTATCAAACAATCCCCTCTGGGTGGAATATGCAAAATCCAAGTTACAACCAAGGTCAGAACCTCTGATGGGTTACTCAATGATCATACATTGAGTTCGAAAATCTATCTCCTTTGGGTAGATAAATTCTCTAAACTAAAACACCTCCAACAACTTCATCTATAAATTTCAAGAATAAGCTACTCAGTGAGCATACATTGAGTTTATAAATTTATCTCCTTTGGGTAAATAAATCCCTTTGACTCAAGCATCTCCAATATCTATATCCTTAATCAACCACAATCTCTACATACAATTGTCCACCTTTGGAAAGACAATCATAGTAATGACTTAAAATCATTCCTCAAACTACAAAGAGACTTTTATAAATTAAAATGAATGATCCCGCTTTAGTGGTAATCACACACAATAATCTATAGAATTTCTTGCATAGGAATCAAATTCTCTTGTCAAAAATTATGAACTAATTATGAATTTCAACAATATAGCATTCTCAATAAATTTTGTCTTCAACGGTATCAATCTCGATATTATAGGAATAATACATAGTATTTTAAAATATTTGACAAAACAAATGTATCACAAATTTATATATATAAACTAATATTTATTTAATAAAATGTCCAAGACAAAATAATAAAAATTTAGAGATATACAGTACTTGTTGTTCGGGAGATAATTTGTTTGGTTAGTTTTACATATAATTTTAATTAGTTTAATATATTTAATTGAAATAATTAAAACAATTATATATACTGTAATTTCATAATTCAAACATGCCTTCATTTTAGGAACCAAACAATTATATATATATATATATATATATATATATATATATATATATATATATATATATATATATATATATATATATATATATATATATATATATATATATATATATATATATATATATATATATATATATATATATATATATATATATATATATTACAGAAATTTCCCTATTACTTAGTAAATATTCAAGCGATATATTATAACTCTCTTTTCAATAAAAATAACCTATTTCTAACATGATATATATTTATTACTATTCATCGTACACTTTTAATTTCATTATATATAATTCAAAACAGTAACGCAGCAATTTCAATTAAAATTAATACTGAAAAGATTTTCAATTTCATATATAATTCATCATATATTATATATAATATATAGTAGCAATTTCAATTAGCCATACAGTATTATAGCTAATTATATATCAATTTCAATTACTGTATCGCAAATAGCATTACCATGTACTGTTCATATTGTTTCATAATAATAATGGATTCAATTAATTTTTATATAAATTCAACTAAACTAATTTAAAGTAGGAGAGTGTATATATAAGATGCAATATAAACTATAAAATCATCAGCTTTTTTTCCCCTCCCAGTCTAACCTTTTTCCTTGACACACTCCAAACCGGCGGCACTAATTATCTTATAATTTGGATGTAACTGATTAATCAATTATTCTATCGTATGTTTTATAGCTATCGCGGTTTTAATTGATTTTTTACAACTTTAATCAACATAAAAAATTATAATTCTAGTCCCTATCTATTATAGATTCAAGATTAAAATCCACACTTTATCCACACCAATCAGATTTCAAATATTCATTCTTTAGTTATAAAAAATATCACTTAACTAATAACATAGCTTATATATGCACCCCATCAGAATCACGATTAATCTATTTTTCACAAACTAAACAATAATTAATTGTAGTCCATAAAAAATTAGATAAGTCTAACATAATGGTGTTTTATAAAAATAAATATGAATCGAACGTTATGCTAAGATAAATATAAAAATATTTATTATAAAATGTAGATATTGATTTTTTTTATTATAAATATTTTGTAATTCCGACGATAAGATGAAGATGATAAAGAGTAAAATTTTAAATGAAAAAAAATATGTTTGAATTATAGAAATGCAAATAACATATTTTAATTTAATTTTAAAATGTGAAATAAGTGTAATAAAATTTAATTTTTTTTAATATGTTTTTTTTCAATATCTTTTAGAATTTTTGTTCTCATTATTTCATGGATGGAAGACGTTTCACACTCAAATAACTGACACTT